TTTGAAGAAAACCCCTCTGACTGTCTACAATTGTTTTATGATATGTTGAACAAAGCTTTAGATAAACATGCTCCTGTTGTTAAAAAGAGAGTAAAAAGGGACAGCCAGCCTGAATGGTATAACAGTGAAATCATTTACGCTAGGAATATGAGAGATAAATATAATGCACTTGGTTTATGGAGTGAGTATAGATTTTGGAGAAATAAAACTAAACATATCATAGATAGCTCAAAAAAGAATTATTATAAAAATATGGTAAAAGACTCCAATGACCCTAAAACTTTATGGAAATGTCTTCACAGTCTGAACCCAAAAGTTAAAAATACACCATATGAATTAGCCACAGAAGATAACAATACAACTAAAAGTAAAAAATCAATAGCAGAAACTTTTAATAACTTTTTCACTTCCTGTGCTGAAAAATTAAGAGAACAAGGAAGTTATACACCTGTAAACAAAGCAGATTTCAGTAATCTTGGTAAATTTGTTAAAAATAAATTACATAAACATGATAAATTTTCTATACCACCAGTGATCATGAATGAGCTATTTAATGAGTTAACAAAACTTGATATAAATAAAGCATCTGGTATGGATAATATAGGACCAAAAATCCTAAGATTAAGCGCCCCTGTTATTGCATCACCTCTCACATACATATTTAACAGAATGATAGATACTGGTATATATCCTTCTTTACTGAAGAATGCTAAGGTAACACCAGTTTTCAAGGATGGTGACAAGCTTTTAGCAACAAATTACAGACCTATATCTGTTCTTCCAACTTTATCAAAATTAATAGAAAGGCATGTTTCTAATAACATGTACAAATACTTATCTAAACTTAAACTTTTACACCCTACACAATCTGGTTTCAGGCCGCAGCATTCTTGTCAAACTGCACTTATTAATATCATTGACAAATGGTTGCAAGAAATGAATGATGGTAATTTAAACCTAGCAATTTTATTAGATTTTAAAAAAGCTTTTGATTTGGTAGATCATGACATTCTTTGTTTAAAGCTTGAAATTTATGGATTTAGTGAGGCTTCTGTTAGTTTTTTCAAGTCATACCTGAATAACAGAAAACAGCAGGTAAACATTTGTAATGTTTACTCTGAACAACAACATGTAAAATTTGGTGTCCCCCAAGGTTCTATACTTGGTCCTCTATTGTTTGTGCTATTTATAAACGACCTTCCCTTATGCATTGAAAATTGTGAAACAGACCTATATGCTGATGACACCACTCTTCATAAATCAGGGAAAAACATAGAAAATATACATGATGATGTTCAAGAAGATTTATACAGGGTTGAAGAGTGGTGCAAAATGAATAACATGTTCATTAATGCAAATAAAACAAAATGTTTGGTTACTGGAACAAAGCAGAAACTATCAATTCAGACTTATCAACCAAACTTAATAATAGATTCAAAAGTATTACAAACTTCTTCATGTGAAAAATTATTAGGTGTTAAAATTGACAGCACACTTAACTGGAGAAATCAAATTGACCAAGTTTGTGCTAATATATCATCCAGAATATACCTCCTTTCTAAAATAAAGAAATTTTTAGATATAAATGCAAGGAAAACATATTACAATGGGTATATTCTGCCCCTGATTGACTACTGCTGTATTATTTGGGGTGAATGTAAAAATGAAGGGATAGCAAGAATTTTAAAACTCCAAAAAAGGGCAGCAAGATTAATTCTAGATGCAGTTCCTTTATCCCCCTCAGCCCCCTTATTTAAAGAACTTGGGTGGATGACAGTTGACAATAGAATAAAATAACACAAATATTTACTTCTATATAAATGTATGCGTATGGAAGCACCAATGTACCTAGTTCAAAAGTTTAAACTGAAATCAGATAATAATCCTTACTCCCTGAGAGGCGTCACTCAAGGTAATCTGATAGTTCCTAAGCCAAAAGCTGAGCTATTTAAGAAATCTTTTGTTTATTTTGGATCAGTGTTATGGAATGGACTACCAAACAAAATGCGTAAAGCTCAAAACACTTATACTTTTAAACAAAGTATCAAGAAGTACTTAACACAGTCCTGATAAGATTATGTTTTCTACAATGTATTTGTATATTCTTTTATCTATATTTGTATTTGATTTTTTGACTACATGTACATCTTGAACAGCCTCAAGTTAGTAATACTACATTGAACTAATTGACTGTAAATTAACTATGTGTAAATATCTGTTTTTTGATTGTATTGTAATTTGTATGTGAGGGCCTCAGGGAAGATTAGTTTATTGTAACTAACTGAGTTTACCCTCTTTAAATAAAGAATTTATTATTATTATTATTATAATTATCTGACAGAACCATGAAAACTTAACATTGACCAATGAACCATTCAAATGAGGTCAAGGTCACATGAAACCCAGCCAGACAGATATGTACACAGTACAATCATGCCATACACCAAATACAGCTGATTTGTTACTTAAAGTATCTGAGAAACAGAATAAACAACCAAATCTTGTGCACCTATGAACTATGAAAATGCGATCAAAGCCAGATGACCCTGTGAATCTGTGAGCTACTGCTCACTAATGATACCCGCGCCCGCTAAAAGTATAAGGTAAACAGGAAGTTGTTGAGTGATGAATCTGAAAACGCATCACACGGTATAGCTGACTCATATAAACCCTGAAACCAAATTTCAGAAATCCTTGTAATGTAGTTCCTTAGAAAGATGCGACGAAAAATATTCATGGGACGGACGGAGGGACTGACGGATGGACAGACAGAGGTAAAACAGTATACCCCCACTTTTTTTAAAGAAAAGTAGCCCATATATAGTATTTGCATTTTCAAGACTAATTTTGAAGCAGTTATGTTTAGGGAATGACCTATAGTATATATATAGTATCTAATTATATAATAGTAATAATCGAAGATCAAGATAAGATTTTGAAGTGAAAGGATGTGTTTCTGTGAGCTCCTGATTGATAATTACCATGGCTTTACTAAACAGTTTTACTGTTGTTAAATCACTGTTTAATTCTTTTAATGCAACTGTACTTTTTAATGAAAGTAGTGAAAGTAGTGAATTAACTGATCAAGTTTTAGAAAATGAAAGTATTTCATTGAATTTATCAGCAGAAAATGTACCAGACTTTTTGCAAATATCTCCAAAGAAACATAGAGTAACTATTCATGTCTCATCACATATGATACAGGATGTTCAAAGAATTTTGGATAATGATTTAAATTTTATAAGGAGTCACTTTCAATATGGAAATATATATAAAACTGTGAACAATTCAGTGACAGTAACACTATACGTAAGTACTGGTACAATTAATGTGCAAGGTCGCAATGTTTTTACTTGGATTGCTACTTTTGTTGTTAAATGTGAATCACTTGAAAAGGAAATTATTTCATCTCAACCAAGGTCATCAACACCAGTTGATTTTATTCAAGACATTTTCAATAGCTCAATAGATTCAAATGTAGAAAACTCTCAAATATCTGAAAATGAAAATCAAGAGAAGAGCCTCAATCTCCAAAATGATTCAATAACTGAACTGAAATCAAATTATATCAGTACCAACTCTATATACGAAGGCAAAAGTAGGGAGGACTTAATTAATATCATTAAACATCTTGAATCTGAACTAGTAGTGAAAAAATGCAATGAGCAATCAACACAAACTGAGTTTTCTGCTGTTTCTGTTGAGTGCCAAACATCACAAATTCAATATGTCAACACTTGTGATGCACCAACACAGACAAGACCTATTCCAGCTCCAAGACTTTCCAAGTTGAAACGCACAGAAAATAAATGCCTACCTGTCCTCGAACCAAAATCCCAACATAAAAACTCAAATCCAAATCCAAAAACTATCAACAACCATAGTTCAGAGAAGGTGACAAAATCAGGTGACAAAAATTTAATCATTGGATCTTCAATACTTAAAGGGATTAGAACTTCTGGCCTATCACAGACCCACATAAGAACATTCAGAGGGGCACAAATTAATAGGATATCAAAGGAAATCGTGAATATGGACCTGAAATCATATAAGAATATTATCCTTCAAGTTGGTGGAAATGACATAAGTGGTAGAAAATCCTTGAATGATTTTGAAATGGAATATGAAAGTTTGCTCCTTGCTAGCAGCTCGTACTTGACCCTGCCATTCTGACATGTTCACCTTAAATTTGATTATTTTTTTGGTATCAAACGCCTCTTTCAGCACTATTAGCTACTTTTTGACGGTCATTTTTTATAAGTATTGTTAACTTGAAGATTATTGACTGGGACAGTAAATCAAGCCTTTTCTCATAACAACATTTTCTGTGGATTAAAGCTGACATATAATAGAGGTTCATAGGCTTCTGTATCATTCACCTAGCAAATATGCATAATATTGACTCACATTGAACTTTCTTTAGAGAAAGGCTGTGTAACAGGAAATATTAAACCCAAAATCCAGATACAATTGTGAAATCAGGTTTATTTTAAAGGGCCACATTATGTGTACTATTCTACGAGGCTCTGAATACATAAAACTGAAATAGAGAGTCCCTACATAAGAATTTGCCTTTTAAATCTTATGATCTTTTCAATTACAAATAAAAAAAAATCCTCATACACAAGATTAAAGTAATTTCCTACGAACGATTGTGGGTGGGTCCAGTGGGGCTATTTTCAATAACTTGGTGAGAATGAGGACACACCAAGTCCTGGCAATAGGTTGAACTGACCTTTTAGACAAAACTCAAAATGTATCTCAAACAAGGAATTATTTGAATCTGGAATAATTTTGAATTCTAGAAAATTGATAAGAAATGTATGATGAAAACTAACCCATGCACACTAAAGTTGGGTTAGTTTTCATCAAATATTTCTTATCAATTTTCCGGAATTCAAAAGTATTCCAGATTCAAATAATTCCTTGTTCTTACAACATAGCATACAAAACCCTGGGTTACATTCCACCCATTCCACACTTAAGAACCTCATCCATCATTAAAAGGATATGAGATCATTTTTCTTCATCATGTTCAGTATAGCTGCCAAAGGTTGGTAAGTCTGTAATGTCACATGGTCACCAACCATAATCAACTTTTTCTTTGCCCTGGAAACTGCTACATTCAATCTTCTTACATCCTTTAATAAGTCTCCTGACTGTAAACATAAATTAGTCCATGAACAAATTAAAGAATCTCTGTAAGAAAGCTCTCATATCTACACTACGGTAATGTAAAGACAGAAGTCACCTTCAAAAAATGATTTCTGATTTACTTACATCTTGATCAAACTATTGAGTTAGTTATCTTCTTCCCAGGACTACATGTAACTGTAGATATATCAGTCAAAAGAAATACATTAAATAGGTGATTTTGTAAACAACAATAAATGATTGAACAAATAAATCATGGAACAATGAGACAAAAAGCAAAAGAAATAACTGGCTATTTTTTTCATTATATATAACTCTTTGGCACAAAGTATAACTTTCTACAACATTAGTCTTTCAAAGATGTCATGTGCAAGGTAAATATTATAGCAATCACAGTGACTGCACATATTTAACAATTCCTGATAATGGCATCACTGAAATGCAAAAGAAAAGTCATCATATCATCACAAATAAATTACATATCAGTGGCTTTTATTGTCAAAGCTAAGGCATAAAAAATAAATCTGAAGCTTGTTAACACTCTGCTTACAGATACTTTACAGCTTTATTGTCTGTTGATCTGATATTTAAACTGAAAGTAGAAGGTGCATTTTTCATAATGCCTTAAACGGGTTTTGGTTAGTATAAAATCAATCAGATGAATATGAATACTGACTTTATTCATACCTTAAAATTTTCAGATAATTTCTTCCTATAACTTCTTGTAAATGATATGATCACAAGTTCTTTATCCCTTCCCTGATACTGATCTACTGTATTAACCTCTACAGCACAGTCAGATAAACTATCATGGATCAGTCTCACTTGATGTCTGTAAGGGGCAATGACACCAATATCTTCTGACAGTAATCCTCCCTGAATACAAACAAAACACAAATTGAAAACAAATCTTAAATCTAGGAGTTCTCAAGAGCCTGAACATGGATACATTATTCCAGTTAAAATCTTAGGACTGAGGAGTATAATTCAGTTAAAGGAGACGATTATGTGTTAATAATCTTCAGAATTTTGAGGATGACAAAGTCAAACAGAAAGAAAAATAGGCGAAAGGTTCAAATCATCCATCTTTAGGCTCCAATGAGCGTGTAATGCTCATCCGCCGGGTCTTTTTTCCTTTAAATTATACAATGCAACAAGTTTATGGCAAAAACACAAAAAAGGGGAAAGAATCCTTCAAGGACAACAAGGAATCAACAGATGATTTTGACTATGTCGACTTAATTGTAGATCTTATTTGTTTTCTACAGTTTCTTTCTACTCTTGTTTCTGCAAAAAGTATTAAAATGGGTATATTGACTTCTATGTAGATTTTGTCCTGTTGATAACTCTTGCTATAAATTAACAATTTCTCTCTATCTACTACAGCTCCAGCAAAACAACAACTAAAGTCTCTAAAAGGCCTGTGTCAATCACCTAGGTCTTTGTGCATCCAACAATGGTCACTCTCAATTTGTTAAATAAAATAGAATTCATTACAAAAATCATTTTTTGGTGATCATGTATTGCTAATCATTTTTTTTGTTTACAGTTTTTCTCTATCTTGTTTAGTTTTTGCCCAAAACACAAAAAAAGATAAACAAAATTGTCATATAAGTGCAATCACTCTTATCTCTTATAAAGAGTCTATAAATGATTTTGTCAAAATTTGACTTATCTATACATCTTTTCTCGCTGATTATTTTTGTCAATAAATCTAATATAGGTATTAGGGGGCGGGGTAGTTGTGGCAAGGAAGGAGGAGTGGATGAGCGAAATGCTGCCCCAAAGTTGGTCATCTGGTGCGAAAAGCGTCAATTTGATGATTTTTCGTCCTATATCTCGACCTGGAAAACTGAAGGGATGCTGATAAATGTATCTCAGTGTAGTCTGCATGTAGAATGGCACCCACTGAATACTTTTTCACCAAAAATCCAGAATAAATTTTGGGCTTCAACTGGACCTGCACCCAGAAGTAGTTGTGCCCTAAGCGTATTTCAATAATAAACTCAATCAGTAGTTGAATGTCCTACGGTTAACACTATAGTTTTAGGCCTCTGTACTGCGTGTGACAAGACACCAAATTGAAGCCCACCGCTCCAGAATAAACTGTTGTCACAGAGATATGTCTCGCTTGTTGGCCGAAAATTCAGAAAAAGACAATCTGATGGACAGCAACATTGCTAATTAATTCAAAGTCACTATACATGACCTACGGGTGCAGGGCCTTGAAATAGTTATCAAACAGATATGTACTGAGAGTAATGCAACTTTATAGAAAATTTCATTGGTCTATCACAGGTAGTTCCTATCAAACTGACTGAGGCAGAAACTTAACATTGGAAATTTCTAATTAATTCAGTCACTGGACCATGACCAAGGGGGAAGGGCCTTTAAATAGTCGTCAAGCTGATATGTCCAGATAGTAATGCAACTTTATAGAAATATCATTGATCTCTCACAAGAAATTCATATCAAACTGACTTAAGCAGAAAACTTAACAATTGTTGACCCCGATGACGCTGCCGTTGCTGGAAAAGCAACACCTATGTCTTGCCAGGTGAGACAAAAACCAGTATTATCCGATTTCAATTTTTGACATTGGTTTTTGGGCTCAAATAGCACCTTAAACCTGAGAAACATGGCAATAAATAGCAATAGGTTGAGGGAACTGATGATGAATCAATTTCGAAATTAATATCATACAGTTGACCTCTAAAAGTATGTAGAGCCATTGAATAAAAAAAAAACACGGTGTTTTGGGAAAAGGCCACAATATTACGCCCCCCGCACGGTAAGGGTTACAATAAAAGGCAAAAACTCCAATAAGGAGTCGTCTGAAGATTTCAGCTTGACTTATTTGTAGATCTTGACTTGCTGATAATTTTTGCTATTTGCTATTTCTATTTTAATATCTATTACAGTTTTTTAAGAAAATGGGCAAAAATGGAAAAAAATTGGTAAAATTCGTCATTTAAGGGCAATAACTCCTATGGGAAGTAATCTTGGCAGTTTTTTTTTACTTAAATGGACAGTAGGTAGATCTCAACATTCTGAACATTTTTGCCCTTTCAGATTTTCTATTTACAGCTCTTTTCAAGATAATCTACAAAACTTGTTTACCCCTATGTTTTATTCTTAGCCATGTCTGTCATGTCGATTGGCAGGGGAGGTCATTGGACACATTTTTAAAACTATAGATACCCCAGTGATGATTGTGGCCAAGTTTGGTTAAATTTCGCCCAGGAGTTAGAGAAGATTTTTGTAAAAGTAAACAGAGGACAACGATGGACACCAAGTGAAGAAAAAAAACTCACTTGCCCTATGGGTCAGGTGAGCTAAAAAATGGGTAAAATCATTATTGTCATATAATGAGTCACCTGATGATTTCAGTTATATTGGCTCATTTGTAGATTTTGTCCTGGTTATCATTTTTATTTGTTATTTACAGTTTTTGTCTACTATAGTTTAAAAAAAACACAACAAAGATGGGTAGAAAGAGTCTAGTCAAGGGCAATAACTCCTATAAGGAGTCAACTGACGATTTCGATCATGTTGACTTACTACTAAAAATTGTCCTGGTTATCATTTCTGCTATTGAGTTTCTATCTACCATAGTTTCAGCCAAAAAACTCATAAATGGGTATAAATCGTCAATCAAGGGCAATTACTAATATAAGGAGTCAAAATTGAAAATGAATAATTCACTATTCAGCTTTGAAAAATTATGTGTAGATCTTGTTCTGCTGATCATTTTTGGGGAAAGACGGCTTCAAGCCGTCAATTCCCTATTTGGTTGGCTAGACTTCCAAGCTTCTCACGTCAATCATTTTGTTTTTATAGTTGGGAAAACACCTCAAAATTTCATACTGAATTGATGAGAAGGAGACACACAAATGAACAGATTGACTTTAAACACTTTTTACACATTTCCCTTCTGTTTCTCGTGAAATTATCGTATCTTGAGCTCTCCCTTACACTATTTACGTTTCTTTTACAATCGGAAAAATCATTATTACGAAATATTCTAAATATATCCAACCTAGTGACGTCATGGTTGGAATTCCACACTCCGTAGAAGAAGGGATATCCTTTATTCATTATTAAAATCATTCACAGAATTCGTGTACGATTTTAAAATCGGTATTTGTTTATTTAAACATAATTATGTTTGCTGTAGATGATTCCAACATCAATGCTTTAATTTGTAGGTCAACTGTCACGGTAAACAATGGGGATACATGAGATTGGGGAGAGAAACGACAGTTTTCATTCTTTCTGTAACTGTATTGAGAATCTTCCTCCAATACAGGAGCACCTCAATAGATGAGTAATTATCCACCAAAATAAAAGTTATTGGTTTAAAAGTTTTGCTGTTCCTTTAGAAAACTTATTACAAACAGGATATCACATCCTAATTTTGAAGGGGATGTTGTTTATAGAGCCTGTATATTTAGATTAGATCTGTGTAATCTTATTGATCATTTAAATAAACTTGCTTTAAACAGTTATCGATTTAAGACTGTGATAAGATCTTTGAATTTTGTTTTTATCGATACAAACATTAATTTTCATATCAATAAATTTAAACATATCTAAATATTATCGCTATACAGATAATAATATGAACATTCAAATTTTTCTCAAGACTGTTTATGAAGTCTTTTTTGTTAAATCCATTGGATGGTTACGGAGTGGTATTTAAAGCTTGGATACAAGATATTTTTTATTAGTTGTTATTAGCTTTAATCTACCTTTCAGTAACGCCAGTATATCATCCAAAGATTTTTTGTTCGTTGATTTTTTTATATCTTTTGTGACGATCTGATGAGATCTTTTTCAACTATATAGCGGAGGTGGCATAAACTATTTGTATAAAGCTTCGTATTTTAAAACATTGAAGACAAAGATGCTTCATACCATGTATGCAGATGCCTTATGTTATGAAATTTCTGTCCGTCATATATCCATTGCCTTGAACTCATATTCATGGTTCAGTGACTGCTTCAAAACAATTTATAGTTTTTTTTTCATGTGAAAAACACTTATTATGAGTAATAGGATAACTATAATTTGGTATACCGGTTCCTTGCTATGTCTACATGTCTGTCATGGATCAGTGATCAAGGTTAAAGTTACTTGATTATAAAGTGTACATGTCTGGCAGGTTTCATCTGACCTTGACCTCATTTTCATGGTTCATTGTTCAATGTTAATTTTTTTTTCTGATTTGGTCTATTATTTCTCAGATACTTTAAGCAATAAATCAACTAAATCTAGTGTATGGAATGACTACATGGTGAACATGTTGCCTGGCAAGGCTCATCTGACCTTGACCTCATTTTTATGGTTCATTGTCAATGTTCAATTTTTGTAGTTAGGTCTGTTTCTCAGAAACTACAAGTAATAGGCTAACTATATTTAGTGCATAGCATGATAGTAAGGTGTTTGGGAATTGGACCATTATGGACTATTTTACCACAATGACACACTGTAAGAACAACTCCTGTGACACCATTTGATAGAAAGCTCTCATACTTGCTAAGATTGTTTGCCAATCATATGGAAGAACTTTTAATTTAAATTTCCTACCACAATAACACCCTGTGAAGGCAACTCCTATGATACCTTTGGACAGAAAGCTCTAATATATAATAGGATTGTTTGTGATCATGTGTAATTGACAATATTGTACTGTCATTATGATTCCACCATTTTATGGGAGAAATGGGACTTTTGACTATCTTTTTTTACTATTGTAACACAATGAAATCATGTTCTGCCTATTGAATAGCAGAAACAAATACAAACGCTTGAAATACACTTTATAATGTAATCTATGTCCTGTTCTACAATTTTATACTAAACACACAATTTAA